ACTCTGCAAGTTCACTTTCCAAGTCCACTAAAAATCCATCAACTTCCGAAGTTGATAATGCATCTGTTGTAGATGTTCAAGGAACTGAAGTTAAAGCAGAGAGAAGTGATGACAAGGGCATCACTATTGAAGGAGCAACCGAGGAAGGGATAAAAAGTGTTATAAATTTTCTTAAGGAAAAAATTCCAGGACTGAAAGTGAAAGTTATGAACATTGATGTCACTGAGGAAGTGATGGATGGTACTGATTCTGTGAAGCAGCTGATGCAAGATGATGAGGAGACAGGATCTAGTGAGGATTCCGAAGGTGAAACTGATAACTTGGAAGGGATTCAACCTGATGGAGTTGCTCTTGAAGCAGATAATGATGCCTCAGAAGATGGAAAGGATTTGGATACAAAACTTTTTATTGGTGGTGTTGTACATAATAATGAGGATACTCCTACCAAGGATGATTATGTGCGTCTGCCAGCTGATGTTAAAGATATGGAGAGAGATTCTTTTGTGCTGCATGTTCCTGGGAGAAGTCTTGATTATGACAATGGGGAAAGTAAATTGTCTAAAGTGAAAATAGCTGCTATTGCAGCTCAAGGTGTTTCAGAACTTATGCCTTCTGAAATTGCCAAGGCATTTTGGAGTTCCGAAAAGACCTCTTCAAAGGTAAATTTGGATTTTATCCGTTAAATTCAAGATTCAAGAAGTTGGGTTATTTACAAGTCTTTCTTTATCCATTTCGTATTGTTTTACTTCTAGTTGGTATCATTGGTGAGGCTCTTTAATGAATATTGGTACAAACAAGGGTTTGTCAAAAGATAGTGATAGGAATCCACTCCAACAACTCAAACAATTGGGCTGGGCAATGGGTCTTTTATGGGTTTGGGTAGAACTCTTCTTGAAAAACCGGCTTGCCAAGGGAGGGTGCCAAAGCCATGTATAACCCACATGCCTACCCCTTTCCCTTCCAATGTGGGATCTTAACATTCCACCATGCTTCCACAACCGACGTTCACGTCGCCTCTTTACTCCCGTCAGCCTTTTTACCCCTTGGGTGACTTCGTGGATCCCCTTACCTCGAGCCGATTCGCTTAAACAGTTGGGCTAGGCAATGGGTCTTTTATGGTTTGGGTAGAACTCTCCTTGGAAAATTAGCTTGCCAAGGGAGGGTGCCCAAGCCATTTATAACCCACATGCCCACCCCTTTCCCTTTTAATGTGGGATCCTAACATTCTACCACGCTTCCACAACCGATGTCCACGTCAGCCTCTTTACTCCCATCGGCCTTTTTACCCTTTGGGTAACTTCACGGATCCCCTTATCTCAGGCTTATTCACCCTTCTTCGGGATTGCAGCCCAGGCCCAAGGTCAGCCTACCATGCGTGCGTTGCCACGTAGGCGTAGGATGATGCTCTTCTCAACTGGCGTCGACGTCGGCCTTTTTACCCCTCGGGTGACTTCGCGAATCCCCTTACCTCGGGCCAATCCGCCCTTCTTCGGAGTAGCAGCCCAGGCCTAAGGTCAGCCTGCCACCGGTTAACTTGCTATGTAGGCGCAGGATCATACTCTAATACCAATTGATAGGAACTCACCCCAACAACTCAAACAATTGGGCTGGGCAATGGGTCTTTCATGGGCTTAGATAGAATTCTCCTTGGAAAACCGGCTTGTCAAGGGAGGGTGCTCAAGCCATTTATAACCCACATGCCCACTCTTTTTCCCTTCCAATGTGAGATCCTAACAGATAGACAGACTTTCAATTCACATAATCTCATTATCTGGTGCATGAAAATATAAAAAAATTTACTATCCTGTGCACTTTCTTGATTTCCTGTTAAGGTTTTAAATGCTTCAGCATTAGATTGGTTCATCTCATAATAACAGGAAAACTGAGATATTATTTTTATATTTCTGTAAATCTTGATAGCAGTTTGGGAAGTCGAACTTTAATGATGGGTTGATATTCATTTACTAAATTTGAAATTTTTTTTGAAGTGTGTAATCATGGTTTTTGTCATAGCTCCACCAATTGGGAGTTATGTGCTGCTTTTGATTGCAATATTGCTTTTCTTGACAATAACTAGGTCATTTGTTAACTTTTCTTAGGTTTCTAGAGATGTACGTGAAATTGTGAAACTTGCTGTCAGTCAGGCACAGAAGCAGAGCAGACTATCTGAATATACAACTTTTAGTCGAATTAGCACTTCTGAAGGCAATATAGATCCATTTGACGGTGAGTATGGTTGCATGCACTTGTATATATATACAATCTCCTCCAACATGGAATTTTGAGATCTGCTGGTTGACATGTAGGACTGTATGTCGGTGCATTTGGCCCTTATGGCACTGAAGTTGTGCAATTGAGGCGCAAATATGGTCAATGGAATGGAGAGGATGACAGGTCTTCAGATGTTGAGTTTTTTGAATATGTGGAGGCAGTAAAACTGACTGGGGACCTCAATGTTCCTGCTGGCCAGGTTTGTATCTTTTAAAAATCTTGGTGTTTGTCCTGGTTTTTGTATTCAATCATTTTAGTTTCATGCTCACGTAGTGAAGAGTTTGATTTAATCAAAACCCTTCTGGATCTTAGGTGACATTTCGCGCCAAAATTGGGACAGGCAGTCGCCTTGCAAACCGTGGGAAATATCCAGATGAACTGGGAGTGGTAATACTCTGTTCCCCCACTCTTTTTCCCTTCTTCAAAACACACACAAGTTTTCTCTCCACATAAGCATCAGAATATGTATTATTTTTTAGCAAATCCCACACCCAGGTCCATTTCATCCTGTAGCTGAACAGACACTTCCAACATTTTAATTGCATATGTGACATTGTCCTTAAAAGAAAATAAAAATGTGTCTATGTGACATTGCTGTCACCTTTTTCCAATCATTAGTTGTATGTCTTAGTTTTTAGAGTTATTTAGGTATCTTTTTCTAATGACAAATAGTTTATTTAGCTTTTGGACAGTGACTTGTTTGTTTTTGCCCTTTTCTCATAACCACTTTTTGTATGATTCAACATAAAGTTACGTTTATTGTCATTTAAAATGTAAATTTAGCAATTGAGGTGCTAAATTTAATTTCAAACCCCATTGTTTAATGATATATCTGTGAAGCAGATAAGATTGCTTAGAACTATGGACTCACAAGTTGAAATGCAGTGAATTATTAGAATTTAGGACACTCTCTTGGCCCCATCAGTTTGGTTGGATTGGAGTGTTGAGAAAATTGATTAATTGTAACAGCTCTTTTTTTTCCAGGTTGCAAGTTACAGTGGCCAAGGAAGAATAGCAGAATTTGGGTTCCGAAATCCTAAATGGGTTGATGGTGAACTGCTTCAACTTAATGGCAAGGTAATTACATTATAATTGCCCAGGATATTTGATAGCCTTTCTTCTATTATAGAAATCTTATGAGAATGTACAAGTCCACTTATTTGGCGTTTAGGATGTATTTTTGAAGAGTTTCCTTTTAATCCCACTTATGGTTTTCTGTAGGGCATGGGACCATACGTCAAAGGTGCAGATCTCGGTTTCCTTTACATTGTCCCTGAGCAAAGTTTCCTTGTGTTGTTTAACCGATTAAAGTTACCCAACTGAGCCATCTAGTTATATTTTCATTAACCTATATATAACTTTAGAACGGGAAGAGATTGAGAATCCAAAGTTACACATGAGTTGTTTTGTATACCGTGAATGAGAAGAGTGAGAGTTGTTATTATACCTTTCATGTTTGTAACTGCTGCCTTCCTTGTTCCACTTGTTTTGTTTCAAGTTGTATATCAGTTTTGTGAAATGACCTAATATAGACATTAAATGGTGCAGTCTTAGAATACAGTAGACATGTAATGATTGCCTGCTGACAGTTAAATGCAGTTACTTATGAGTGAGGTTATATTTTCTTTAAATGTTGATGGAATCATTGGTGGAATTATTGATCCAGTCTGTTGAGTAAGTATGTTGGGGCCAGTTTAGAAGCATTAACAAAATATTGATATAAATTAAGGGTGTGAATAGGGAATTAAAGGGGAAAGAGATCAGCTTTAGGATGAAAAGTAGATATGAAATTTTATGAAGTGGGAAAAAGCAAAAATTGATTGTGGTTTGTTTTAGTTGTAAAAGAAGGCATGATTTTATAAGGAGGAAACATCGTCTTAAGAGCTAAGCTTTAAGCTTTAATTTTTTGTTTTAGGTATATACAGATTGGAACCTATAAGTTGTGTACTATTGAGCACAAAACAAAAAGTAAAAGCAAAAGCAAAAGGAAGGTCAATTGTTTTATATACATTTGTCTCTAGGAAAAATAAAAGCAAAGGAAAGAAAACAGAAGTAGGAAGGAAATTTGGGGAAAGGATAGCCCACTCCTAAAGAAATGAAAAAGCATTTCAACTATCGCTATTTATAAAGTGGAGATTGAAAGCTTGGTGGGATGTTTTAGAATAATCCCACTTTCTACCTCATTTTACATCACTCTACTTTTTTTTATTTTTTTAATAATCATCGAGGTGTTTAGACCAGTTTACATTACACCTTAGTTAATCATTCGGAGTCTTGAAACTGACAACTGGGTAAGAGTTATAATGGTCACCTCTATTAATAACTCGAACTCAAAAACTTATCAAACATCTTTTAGTCCTTTTGCTCTTTTATCATTTAACTAGTTAAAGGTGGTTTTATCTGGGTTTTCTCTTTTATTTTCTTTCACTTTGTTAAAAGTTAAAACACTTCCACTACCCTTTGAGTGGATTTATCTTGTCTATGAATTATTGAAAGATTATTACGTTATTTAAACATAAAAGCCGTCTAATTATAGTCTCTTTTTCTACACCAATTTGACTGTACTTCAGTGACCATGGACTAATAAATAATTGCCACGTCATTTAACAATAATAATGGAATAACTTAGTGGTAACTGGTAAGTAGATGCTACGAAAGACCAGATTCGTGGTCCCCACAACAGAAACATAAAGTTGAAGCTTTAAAGTGTCTCGCTTTCACTTTTCCTGCTCTCTTTTCTTTTCTCACTACTCAAACAGACTTTTTTCCCTCTCGTTAAATTCCCCAGAATACTTGAACAAAAAATTAATAGAAATCAATAATACTCCAATCAAACAAAATAATATGAAAAAATCCAATAGCATCAAACGATCATCGTCTTCCAATTCCGACTCACGCCCTCACCCTGAGTCGCCTCACTCGCCGCTCCGGTTCCACACCCCGGTCCCCTCCGACCAGGGCGATCCCGACCCTCCAGATTCCCCTCCCTCTCCCTACGCCTCACCCGATACCTCCCCGCAAAAATCACCCAATGATCCCGCTGAAAAACCAAACTCCAAAGCCTTAGTTGCCGTGAGCGACAAGTTCACGCAGTGTTCTCCACTGGCGGAGAAGACGGTGGATCCGCCTCCGACTCCGCCTCCACATCCGGCGATGAATTTTCACAAGGCAGTGCGGGAGAACAATACTCCGCCGTTGACCACCACGCTAGAGCCCGAAAGGGGTGTGAGATCGGGTGCGGCGACAAGGAGGGGATTTAGGACTGGTGAGAAATTGAGAGTGGTGAATATAGGGTTCAGGTTAATCGAAGTGGTTTTGTGCATGATTTCTTTCTCTGTTATGGCCGCCGATAAGACTCAGGGCTGGAGTGGCGATTCCTATGATCGTTACAAAGAATACAGGTTACTACAGCTTTTATTCATGATCATATTACATAATTTTACTATGTTATTTGGATTTTCCTCACAGAATTGAAGTGATTTTAACTGCTATAGACTTATAGCAGTAAAAAAGAGTAACTTTAAGGTCGAGATATCACTAAGTGACTCTGACTGTGAGTGTTTTTGTTTAGCTACTAAATTTTACTCAACTGTCTTCATTATTTATACTTCACTGCATCAATATTAAATTGTGTGTGTTTGGACCTTATTTTGAGACTTTTGAATGGTTAGTGTAACAACCACGGCACCTTATGTTTTCTTTATTATGGAACTTCGCTTCCATGTCTATTTATTTTTTATTATTTTTTTTTATTCGATTTAAGTAGAGATTAATTTTTTACCTTTAATTTGACAGGCTAATTCATAGAATGGTATATTTTCTTTAATAGATTTTTGATGTGATGATGCAACTTGATGACAGGTATTGTTTATCAATCAATGTTATTGCGTTTGTATATGCGGGGATTCAAGCAGTCTACTATCTGATGATAGGGAGACAAAGGGAGCGCATACCTGTCAGGCGTCTCTTTGATTTCTTTATGGATCAGGCAAGTTTATCTACCCTGATGGGATGAATCTATCTACTCTATAATTGATGATTATTTTAGCTAATCTAATGTTTTATGCCCATTCTGATTTAGCTTCATAGTTATAGTTGTATGTGTTCACTGGATTGAGGGTTGAGGGTTTTGCAGTTCCCACAATATGCTGCAATACCTAAATTTAGAAAATGTAAAGACTACCAATTTTTTGTTTTGACATGCTTAGTTGTCACTGTCCTAGTTTCTATTTGTTGGCATTTATTGATTTTTGTCTGTGAATGGGAGTCAAGAGAATGAATTCAATTCTAGGCATGTATGCTTAAAATAGTTGGGGGTAAAAGATGCATTGTACACTTGGCTAGTTTTCCCGGTGATGAGCAGCATAGGCATAGCATGAGTGATCCTTTACTGGATTGGATGAGGATCTTATAATGGAGTTTTACTTCACAAACGCGCACACACAGACATGTTTATAATTACATGATAGGCAAAAGGGGTTTACATATCTGTAGTACTGAAAGAAATGTTAACTTTATCGGTTCAACTGGCAGATACTGGCTTATCTTCTGATCTCGGCATCATCATCAGCAGCCACTCGGGTTGATGATTGGCAGTCAAATTGGGGCAAAGATCAGTTCACAGAGATGGCTAGTGCATCAGTTGCAATGTCTTTCCTAGCTTTTATCGCATTTGCCTTCAGCTCCTTGGTGTCTGGTTACTATCTATGTAATCAAGACGCCACATGATCTCAAAAGCAGCTGCACATCACAGTTGAATCGTATGTTTACATTATGCAAAAATGAATGTCAATTCAATTTTCATGTTGTACAGGGACAATTTTTTCTCCCAAAAGTAAGTATATATATATAATGTTCATTCAAAACTGAAAATAATGTAATGATTCAAGTTCCATTACTTGTAATAGATATCAAACATTTTCTCTACTCTAGTCTGTATTCCGTTTGTGTGAACAAAAGGGGTCAGCTACTTGGGCCCCAAATGAGAATTTTTGAAGCCCAGTAGTGTTGCTGGAGATGAGGCTGAGGCTACTTGGGCCCCAAATGAGAATTTTTGAAGCCCAGTACTGTTGCTAGAGATGAGGCAAAGGCTACTTTAAGTATGTGAATGTGATGAGGATTGAAACAAATAAAATATCGCTATCGAAATTACGTGTTGCCTTGCAAAGTAAATCACTAATCAGGGAGGAGAGTGGTGGGTCTGCTTAAGATTCTGAGGAATTGGCTTCACCACAAAGACGTGTTGAAATGCAAAGGCACCAATGGTTTAAGGTGGCGTGACTTGTTTGACTAGTTTTCTTCCTTCTTTATGTAATTCCAACTCCATCGATGAAATTAAACCCCTTGCTGCTGCTGCTAGTCGTGGTGGCCTTTGAAGTCAAACATAAAGATTATACTCAAACCACATAGAGATGAGATGACGATTAAGACACATCATGTCTCAATCCAACAGCCCATGATGTTTATGTTCTTATTCATGGTGCTCTGTGGGGTGTTTAATCAAACAGCTTAGTCCATTTGACAACTAGATACTTCATTCTTATCCCAAATTAATATACCCTTCCCCAATTCGTAGCCTTTTTTTAAAAAAAAAAAAAAAAAAAAAAAAAAAATTATTCTTGGCTGTTAACAAGATAGATGTGGAAGAATAAATAATTATATAATAAGACGGGAGATTAAATTAAATTAGAACCAAATTTTGGAAGTCACGTGTGGAATGAAATAAAATTAGGTAATTTTGGTATTCTTATAAAAGTAAGAATTAAAAGGGTTCACGTGGTTTCATTCATCACCCATGTTCATATAATCTTCAATCTCAACTACATGACAAATATTCTCTATCATACCAACTACTCTTATTTTTCCCTTAATTTAATCAAATAATTATATATATGGAAAAAATGAATCCACCCAATCAATTTCAAAACAAATTTCACAATATAATACCAAACAATTAATTATGTTTATAATATTTGATAACATTAGACTTGTAAGCAATATCTTACACCTAAACTATATAGTCAATAATTAATTAAGTTATAAGAATCCATTCACCAAGAACAAGATTAAGTACGGATTAGGGATGATGTTGTGTACAAGTATTAATTTAAAATTATTGATTCTTTTCTTATTCACTGCGGTTATGTTTGGACCAGTTCACTTTCAGAACGTATCTATGCATGTGCATGTCCCTTAAATTATGGAAATACAGTTTAAATGAATTTATTATTTATGTTACACTTTAATTATTAATAAAAGAGTAGACCACTGTTCCCACCCAAGGTTTGGCCAAATGGAAGTTTCCCACCCCTAGTTTCATAAATTTTAGATTCTTACCCTTAAATTAACACCGTTAGTGACGGTTGGGTTTTGACACAGATGCAGTGGATGCAATTATCAAACTACCCTCCCATCTTCTTCTTATTCTCCCTTTTTCGACTATTACCAGAGTTGCTCTTCTTCGTCACCCTTTTGGTTGCCTCCCAACCAGTTTTCTTCGCCAATCACAACATGAACTCTTCCCCAACTTTGATTGCATCTTCCCCAACCTCGTTTAACTGAAAATTTGACCAGATTCCGTTGTTGTTTCGCATCCACTACCTTATCGCATGACTACCTATCTCACGCCAAATCGGCCTAATTCCAGCATCGTCAGCACACTGACCCCACCATCTTCAAGTCGTTGATCCCCTTAATAAAAACCCCAACCTTCTCAACCTTTTGAACCACCATCGTTAGTCGTCGCCCTCCCATTTATGTTAAGCAAACATTTTCCTTTTTTGGTTGATTTCATCGTTGAAAACCTTCCCTAAAACCACATTGTGTTCACCGGACAACGCCCATCATTCCCAACCATGGTAGCTCACCGTTCGCAGGTCACCACCCCACTTAGGGTTTCGCAGTTTTGATTTGCTATGATTTTGAGTTGTTATTGGTTTTTCCTGCCACCAACACAACTCTTATCTCCCAACCCTCCACCTTGCCTTTGTTAAATTGCCCCAAATGAAACCCCCTTCAATCTTTTCCCAAATGCGTGTGCGCTCTCCCAATAGTGCTCGTGGCCTTCCCTACTTGGGAGCTCATTACGATGCGAGGAAGAGGGCTGGTTGAGACACAAACATATCGAGAATGACGAGGAGGTGAACCGAAGCAAGAGAATTACGATTTGATGTCGAAGATGGTGTCAAGGACCAACAACAACACCAACTAGAGACCCAAAGTTGAGAGAGAAGTTTTTGCAAAAATTTAAAATATAGTAAATGATCATTTTAACCTTTAACTATTAAAATAAACCAAATATATTAAGGATTGAAATATGAAATTTATGAAACTAGGGTATACACTTGACACTTTACTAAAGCTTGGGTGGGAACATGTCACTCTTAATAAAAGAGGAGCATTATCTTGTGCGAGAAAGAAAAGTCAAGTGTAGTAATTGATGATAATAAGGACTTAACACCTGTGACACTCAGAAAATCTAAATTATTGATTTGATTTGATTTTATGATCACATCATAAATATTAATATGTATGTATAATGTATGTATGTAGTATTTTAAAAGAGTTTAATTAAAGTATTTAGGCGATGTTAATTAAAGTATTTGACTAAAAGATGGCTCCAGTTGTGCAGGCGACATTAACAACCAGAAACTGCCATGCTCATGCTCATGTCCGTACACTTATCGGAGGGCTAACCCTAATTGTTTTTTCACCGCTACATCACTATCCTCTTTTTGGTTAGGAAGAGAATCTACGCCTTCTACGTTTATGAAGTCAAGAGATAAAAAGGGTTAGAATGGGGACTTTTAATTCCTGGGGGGTCTCAAAATATAAGTAAAATTTACATTCAAAATTAAAACAGTGGTGGAGGAGGAGCGTTGTGACACGCGGTTTTAGAAAGCGGGTGGCGGAGGGTTAAAAATTAAAAAAAAAAAAAAAACCGTATACGGAAGAGGACCATACCATACGGCTTTGTCCCACGGATACCACTCTGTTATTGTGGGCTCCACCTTTTCTCTCTTCCCAACACTCACTCTTTCTGTTTCCTTCGAGACTTTCTTTTCTTTTACTTAACTACCCCCTTAACGGATGAAAATGAGAATGAGAAAAGGGTATTTTAGTAAAATTGGGAAGGGCTAAAAAAGAGAAAGAGAATTGTAGCGCTAACGAAAAAAGGACCCGGTTTGTCTCCTCCGAAGTGGATCGTCGCACGTTATGAATGGCACCAAAGAGAAACAAAGAAAAGAGTTTACACAGTTTCAGTACATTACAGTGTGTTGAGAGAGAAAGGGCGAGAGCTGACAAATCGCCAGCTCTCTCTTTACATATGCTTTCACTGCACATCATCACTAACAACACCTCCACCAACTACTACCACCACCCACCACCCACCTCTCTTTCTCTCTTCTCTCTCTGTCCCTTCCTTCTTCTTCATTGATTCATCCCCCTCGATATAACCCCACTTTCGCTTTGTTTTATCAGAAACCCTTGTGTTTTTTACGTTATCAGACTGCTTCTTTTTTCTCTTCATTTCGCCTTATTTCCAGATTTGAGTAAAGTCCCATTTTCTCCAGTTCTGTTTTTTTTTTTTTTTTTTTTCATCATTAAGATGATTGAGATGTGTTAGACTGGGTTTCTATGATCGGTGTTTTCAGTGCGCATAAAATTTCTCGAAATGTAGTTAAATGAGTTAAACATTTTCAAGCTTTAAATTTTAGTTTTCTGTTTTTTAGTCTCTACATCTAATTGTTGAAGATCTTTTAAAGTTTAAATTTGATGATTTTGTATCAAATCATATCACAAACCCATGAAGAATTTTCAATGGTTGAAGAAAATCTCCATTACTACGAAACCTGATAGGAGTCTCTCTCTTGGTGAGTATAAGAGAGCTGTTTCGTGGTCCAAGTATTTAGTCTCGTCTGGTGCAGCGATAAAAGGAGAAGGAGAAGAAGAATGGAGTGCAGATATGTCACAGTTGTTTATTGGATGTAAATTTGCTTCGGGAAGGCATAGTAGAATCTATAGAGGGATATACAAGCAGAGAGATGTGGCAATCAAGCTTGTTAGCCAGCCAGAGGAAGATGAAAACTTGGCTTCTTTTCTTGAAAAACAATTCACTTCAGAGGTGGCTCTCCTGTTTCGATTAAAGCATCCTAATATCATCACTGTAAGCTCCTCTGGGTTCTTGAATTTTTTTTTTTTTTTTTTTCATGTTTCTGGTAATGTAGTTTAATACTTTTACTTTCTTGTAATTTTAATGACGCAAGAATGGTGAAGATGGCTAATGCAAAACAAGTTCTAATATCACAAGGGAACCTCACTGCTTTTGTTTAACAAAGAAAAGAGCTTATTTCTACTTTTAGTCATTTCAAAATGACAACTTCAAAGTTTTTTTTCTGTTTTTTCTTTTCTTGGGATCAAGATGATACTGATCTACAGAACAGTAATAAAACGTCCCTTCTGAGTAAGTCTTTCCTCCTTGTTTATCACGTACCAAGGTATTCCGGCTTTATGCATTGAACAACTACAGTCAGAATTTATTGATCCTTGTTTATCATGCCTATCGGTTACATATTACCCATGTGCATATTTATTATTGTTGCTCATTCACTTGTGTTGATAAGGTTTGGTTAGAATCCCAGTTGTGGTATTCAATATGCTTGCTAACTTTAAAATGCTGACTCGATTTAATATCTTTAAGAATTCTTGCTTTTTTCATTAGGATCATAGTCTTAATTAGTACACTGTAGAGTGGAAATCTAAATCTAATTCTATAAACAGTATTTGTGTGTATTTAGAAATGCATTACTTCCCTTCTCTATAATTTGTGCATCTTTCCTTAGCGGTCAAAATTTAGATTTGAAATTTAATTCTCATAAAGAAACCCATGACAGCAAGGGACAAGTGGTTTGTGTTTTTATTTCAAATTGATGATTTAGGTTGAACAGACAAATTGGAATACTGGCAACAGAGTTTATTAAGATGTTAAGGATGATGGGATTTTTTTGTGCAGGTAGTGAAATGGGCCACAAACGCCTAGGACCCTATCTTTTTTCATCAAGCAAAGCCATGGGCTTCACATGATAATTAGTTCTTTTCCCCTGCTTTATGCTTTTGGAGACTGCTGCATTCAATTTAAGATTCCTGGCCTAATAGTTTTTCCTTGTCTTAAATAATTCTCCTTTCGATAGACTTTCCTTCTTAGTCTTTTTGGTGTTAGGTTGTTTTGGACGGTTTATTTGTATCTCTAATGCAATTCGTACTGCATGTCAAGAAATAGTGGAAGCATATAGTGTAGTATACATTATTGAATTTTTCTGTTCATCCTAAATCATTAGTGGGTGTTTGTTTTGACAGCTAAGTATTAATTGGAATCAATCATTTTATACTGTGTATCTATTTTGCTTTCTTTTGTGCAGTTTGTTGCAGCCTGTAAGAAACCTCCTGTATTTTGTATAATCACCGAGTATCTAGCTGGAGGCTCCCTAAAAAAATACCTTCATCAGCAGGAGCCACATTCAGTTCCACTCAAACTTGTTCTGAAACTAGCGCTCGACATTGCACGTGGAATGCAATATCTTCATTCTCAAGGAATACTCCATAGAGATCTCAAATCAGAAAATTTGTTGCTTGGAGAAGATATGTGTGTGAAGGTAGCAGATTTTGGCATTTCGTGCTTAGAATCTCAGTGTGGTAGTGCTAAGGGATTTACAGGCACTTATCGCTGGATGGCACCGGAAATGATTAAAGAAAAACACCATACAAAGAAAGTTGATGTCTACAGTTTTGGCATAGTTCTTTGGGAGCTTTTAACTGCATTAACACCATTTGACAACATGACTCCAGAACAAGCTGCATTTGCAGTCTGCCAGAAGGTAAAGTTACCTGATTCAATCACGAAATGCTGCATCTCCATGACACAATCCAATTTTAGTCATGCAACAATACTGCAATTACATGTGTTACCTCTTGCCTAATTCAACAATGACTTCTCAATTATTATAGACTATAATCTCTCCTTTATACCTATTTTTTAATTATAGAATGGACTGCACTTTACTTGTTATACGGTAGAAGGACACGAGACTGAGAAAAGAAAATGGTGAGCCTTGTTTGGCAATTGATATTGGTATAAGCGTGTTCAAGTGATTTTAAAATTTTACCCACTGAAGTTCTTCTAAAATTCTCTTTAAGTTGGAAGATGTCATTGTATTAATGCATGATGCATGATGTCATGGTAGAAAATTTTATCATTAAATGCATGACATTACATAAAGTAGAACAAAATTAAAGACTTCAATTTAGGCACAGGGTCCTTTAATTCCGTTATATTGTTCTTTAATTTTTATTTATTCTTTTTAAAAGTTATGCTTATATTTTGGTGAGGAGATATGGAATCAAGAAAAGTATATAAACCGAAAAAGCAATTTTTTTTCTAGTTACCTAAGTTTTTTAGAGAGGAAGCGTGTGGAGCATTTTGCCGCTACGTTGCAACTAAAAAAAATATTAGAAAGACATAGGCTCAGTAGAACAAAACTACTTTTTGGCACAGTTCTTTTTAAATATGGTTGACTTGCTATTTGCTAAAAAGCTTTTACAAAGTTCTTGGCTGTGTACTGTTTATTTGTTTGATTCTTTCATTGTAATTTACATGTAGTATAATATCATACAATTTATTTACCGAAAGCAAATTGTCATTTAATAGTGATCACATCCTTTGCTAGTATTGGTCATCTAGATGCGTCTTCACATGCTTCAGTGGCATGAGTGACATGACAGTCACTCATATATGCCTGTCCCCATTAGCGGTCATTTAATGTGTAGGGACTGCTGTTTTGTCTCTTACATGCACGCACACACAACCCCCTACACAGAGTCCAGTGTGGAAAGTTGAATATGTTTGTCATTTGGTACAGACTTGTGAGAGAAACTTTCAACATCTTCTGAGTCAAACTGGTTAGATGAGATCATGTCTCTTCAACATTATGAGTTTCATAATAAAAACAAAGAGAGGAACTCTTGCTGTGAATTATTGGTCTCATGGCACTTGTGTTGTGCTTGGTTATAATTGTTATGGGTTTTCTTCATGAGGCTTCATTTTTAGTTTGAATTTCTACATTTTGTTAAACATTGTTTAGGTACTTATTTAATTAATTTACAATGTCAGTTGAATTACTTTCATGGGTTTATATCACCTGATAATTAGTTGACATTTTGTCAAATTCCTGGGATATAAGTTTCCAAGTTTGATTAGAATGTGTCTGAAACATATCATTGAAACCTCATTAAACTGATTCGCATATGCAATATGTTGAGTTACCGTGCAGTTTGCTATTTCAACTCAAGAGCGCTTTAGAAATTTGGAGAAGAGCTTCCTCTATGTATCAGTAACTCTGATTTCAAATTTCTACTTTTCTTTCTCCGTATCATGTGGTTCCATATTCTAGCTATTTGCATATGTTGTCTGAGTTTAGTAATATCTACTCCAATTCCTGAACTTGCTTAATGGATACATGCCTTAGATATCTTGGGAAAAAGAATGCATACTCATCTCTTGGACGGTTACCCACATTATGCAAATTTCATTGATCATACACATCTGTCTTACATCATCTGGTTTGTCTACAGAATGCCAGACCACCGTTGCCACCAACATGCCCTGGGGCGTTCAGTCATCTCATAAACCGTTGCTGGTCAAGCGATCCACACAAACGACCACGTTTTGATGAAATAGTTTCGATTTTGGAAAGTTATTCAGCATCCCTGGAGGAAGATCCAGAATTTTTCACAAACTTTGTACGTTCGCCTGATCATACTGTTTTAAAATGCTTACCAAACTGTATTGCACGACATCGCTCTGCTCATTTAAAACCTTTGAGCTCTTCTTAAATTAAATGTGATGCTAAATGTACCATATTATCAATTATCTAGGTCTATATAAACTTTTAGATGTGCAATTAAGATTGTTTACTTCTTCAAGCTTTCTATTTGTATCAAATATATGAATGAGAGTGTACTTGGTGGTGGTTTTCTTATTATATGTAACCCATTCTTCTTGAATTGAAATTGCAACCGAAGGTTGAAATTTATGGAAACATCAATTTATGTGTACGCATTGATCCTTTAATCAGTATTGAGTAAATGCAAAACATTAGTTTCTAAGGATGAGTTTGGAATGCATGAAACTCCCAAGTCCCAAGTGAACCTGCAATACATGAGAACCTTTGATCCACCAGAATACTAAAGTTTATCGTCCACTATGGCTAGCCTGTTAAGGGAATCAATCACACTAGCAGAATATTAGAAGGATAAATACTATTATTAATTAGATTAGCGTAGTGACAGTTTGGCCGAGTGGTCTAAGGCGCCAGATTTAGGCTCTGGTCCGAAAGGGCGTGGGTTCAAATCCCACAGCTGTCAAATTATTTTTGTTTTTATTTAGGTATGAGGTGAGCTGTGAGGAATACTATACTTACATCACTGTTTTACACAATTTTCATTATATCATAATGTGACATATGTTACAATCACATAAATTTTTAATTATTTTTAATTTTTAATATTATAATAAAATTTATGTGATTGTAACATATGCTACATCATCATGTTTATAAAATGGTGTAAGTGTAGCATTAATCAGTGAGCTCTTGCTTTATCCAATTATCATCACTGTAACTCTAGCTGTCCATTAGGCTGTTTCTTGTTTATATATTATGTGTTGATATATAAATACATAAACCTGCAGTATCCCATTCCCATCCCATGATAATACTTATTGGTCTATAATCTCACTCGCCTTGGTATACCTACACCATCATCAATCTTTCAGAATTTATATATTTCTTGTGGGTGGTCATGTCATGGCCTCTATAGATCCGTGAATTGACAAATCCAATAGAATGAGACATTAAAGCTAGAACATCGTTTTTAATGATCAATATAGAAAAAACCTTTTAAAATGTTAATCGCCATAATGTGTTGTTGATTATATACAACTAATCAACTAACCAAGACTTCTCTCTGGAAAAAAACAATTAGATATTGAGAAGATTGACCCACTAACTGGTCCCAAATATTTGAATTGTTGATAGAGTAACCCTCTTTCTTGTAGAAGAACAACCGTAAGTGGGGAGCATCATATCTTAAACCCACTTGGGAGTATCATATTCATATTTAATTATTAACTTACTGATAATAATATCTTTGGATACTAAATCAATCCAACCTTGACCTTTGTAAAACTTACTCACTCCAATAATTCATTCATAAAGTTTGGTTTATAATTAATTATCATCAATCATCTTTTACTTTGCCACCTAAAATTCCTAAAACCCCGAGGATATATAAACCAACATTATTGCAATGCAGGCTACTTATTGCAGTTCATGTGTGATCCACAGTAGAATATTACAGTTGTTGTTGTTGTAGTTATAATGAGTAACACCAAATATATAAACTGGCAACTGGGTTGGGTTGCTCAGATTTTCTGACTCATGAAGAGTAGGTTCTACTGAAGATTATAAATCTGCAGCTTGTACTTTGAAATTATAATTCATCCACACCACCGACGAAAACAGATAACCCCGATTCTTATTAATATTTCTATGCTTCAAGTACATATATATATCTTCCAAACTACTTGCCCGCTTCATTATTGACTGAACCAGATGCAAAATACTGCAAATGTTTTATGTTAGGGAGGTTGACAGTAATGTATGATGTTGCTTTTAGACCTCAAAGAAAAAACATTGTAAAAGTTAAAAAGATTTGCTGTTTCTTTCAATGGTTTTGATCTTTTTCTTGGTCAAGTTTAACGTGTTCACATTTGAGACAAATCTTCAACGATTAATTATAATAGTTTCAACTTTCACGTATACATATATAGATCTTTTCAATCACCCTTTATGAATAATATATCATAGAGTGAAACAAATGGCAAGTCATTCCTGAAAATGCTTTGATATTTCTCACCTTAGAGACCAAGCATGTAAGAAAGAAAGTAAACTTCATGATTTTGACACTCTATCTATGCCTCTTTTAACATTCCACCACCCCCGCTTTGAAAACGTCAAAATAACCCTCAACTCCACAATTGACCCTGAAACCAAAAACTAGCCCACTACCCATTATTTTAAAAAAAAAAAAAAAAAAACACCATACAACCTCTCAAGGGTATTTTTGTCTTTTTGTAATGCCACGTGGCTAGTTCCAGTGGAGCAGGAACAAACAGACAACAAACAGATCAGCAGTTGCAGTCTCGCGCGCTTGAGTTAGGGGAGAAATAGCCTGCCCTTTTTCCCTATCTGACATTCTCTTTCTGTACATTTCCAATTTTACCCTTCTTCTATTTTCTCTTTTCCATTCACCAAATCATTTTCCGTTCTTTCATCTCTCTTGTCTCTTCTTTACCTCAAGCTTACATATGTAGTTATAAATAGCTAACAAAGGTTAGATTTCTTTTTTATATTTATCTTATTTATTTCGAGATTGTGTGTCTATTTATTGACATAGATATCTCATATCTATAAAAAGGACCCAGTATAACATCTCACCTTGCGCCGGTTGCTCTTTCATGGCTGGTTTGTTGAGGTATGTGCTGCTTTTATGGCTTTCTTTTTAATTTAAAATATGTACATCTATTTTTTGTTGAACCTGTTAATCTTTTTGTCTTTTGTATCATTCTTTTTGATTTATTGGATCAGTTTGAGAGGTCAACTCTTCATTTGTTTTGTACCCTGTTCAATTCATATCTTTTGATATGATTTAAGGTATTGTTTGTGAGATTATGGTATTTGTTTTTATGAGTTAATATTATGTGGGTTGGTTTTATTTTTTAAGATCTAATGAAAGGAATTGTTGTTATCACATGATATTTGCTGCTTCAATTTGTTGTCCATCATTTGAAAGGTTCGTCAGCAAATTTGTTAACACGTTAAAGATTAAATTTTTGATGTTATAATTGTGTTGTTGTTTTGTTTTTGGTTGACTCTTCTGATATGTTTATATTTTATCACTATGTATTATGTAGCTTGTACGTTATTGAAAGTTTTATGGAAAGTAAAATAATTTGTGCTTTCCCATGTCTGGATCTGTTGCGACAATTGACGTGCTGACTTGTTTTGTTGCAGATAAGTCATTGAATTCCATAGTTTTTTTGTTTATTTGGGTAAAAAAGATGCCTGGAATTGTCATTGATGAAATTCATGAGGAAGGGGTAGTGAATGAATTGAACGGAGATTCTACACCTGTTAAGGAGAACTCAGTTTCGAATAAGTCTCCAGATAGTACTGCGACTCAGCAAAGCCCTCGTAGTGTTGGCTCTGATGTCCCTGATATTCTGGTGGTTGACACCTCAATCGAGCAGCTTTATGAGAATGTGTGTGACATGCAGAGTTCTGATCGGTCACCCTCTAGGCCCAGTTTTATATCTGATGGGGAAGAGTCTAGAATTGATTCAGAGTTGCGCCATCTTGTCGGAGGAGAGATGATAGAGGTTGAGATAACGGAAGATGAAGATTTGGAAAAGCCTGAGGATGATTCTCGTAGTAATTCATCTTCGAAGATAGGTAGTTCATCTCAAGGTAAGCAGTTGCGGAAGTTGGACAAGCCTCCAAGTTCAAAGTCCGTTTCTTCAAAGAAAGTTGAAGCATCATCGAATTTGAGTCCTAAGGACATAAGTCATTCAGAGAAACCCCCAATTGATAGGCGGAATGATAAGAATCTTAAAAAACCAAATGCAGGAGTTACCCCCACGAAAAACCGGATGGGGAGGTTACAGAATAGAACTGAAACTGAATCAAGGTTAGATAATCCAGATCTTGGACCTTTTTTGCTCAGACAAGCTAGGGAGTTGATTTTTACAGGAGAGAATCCCCAGAATGCTCTTGAATTAGCTCTACGGGCAGAAAAATCATTTGAAATTTGTGCAAAGGGGAAGCCTAGCTTAGAAAGGGTCATGTGTTTGCATGTTACAGCTGCAATATACTGTAGCTTAGGCCAGTACAATGACGCTATTCCGGTTCTTGAACGCTCAGTTGAGATACCAGTGATTGAGGAAGGGCAAGACCATGCCCTTGCAAAATTTGCAGGTCATATGCAATTGGGTGATACTTATGCAATGCTGGGCCAGCTGGAGAATTCATTAATGTGTTACACGACAGGTTTGGAAGTCCAGAAACAAGTTCTTGGGGAGACAGATCCAAGAGTTGGTGAGACATGTAGATATTTGGCTGAAGCTTATGTTCAAGCACTGCAATTTGATGATGCCAAGAGGCTTTGTCAGATGGCTCTGGATATTCATAAGGAGAATGGTTCTCCTCCTTCTCTTGAAGAGGCAGCAGATAGGAGGCTGATGGGTCTTATATGTGAAACAATGGGAGATCATGAAGCTGCTCTCGAGCATCTTGTTTTAGCCAGCATGGCCATGGTTGCAAATGGTCAGGAAGCAGAGGTGTCTTCTGTTGATTGCAGCATTGGAGACACATATTTGTCATTGTCTCGGTATGATGAAGCTGTTTTTGCTTATCAGAAAGCACTCACAGCTTTTAAGACAACCAAAGGAGAAAATCATCCGGCTGTCGGTTTGGTCTTTGTCCGTTTGGCTGATATGTATAACAGGACTGGGCAATTGAGGGAGTCAAAATCGTACTGTGAAAGTGCCCTTCGAATTTATGAAAAGCCAATACCTGGTGTTCCCCCAGAGGAGATTGCAAGTGGTCTAACTGATGTTTCTGCTATCTATGAATCAATGAATGAGCTTGAGCAGGCAATTAAGTTGCTAGACAAGGCATTAAAGATATATAATGATGCACCTGGTCAGCAAAGCACGATTGCTGGAATTGAAGCCCAGATGGGTGTCATGTACTACATGTTAGGGAATTATTCTGACTCTTACAACTCCTTCAAGAGTGCCATTTCAAAGCTCCGCGCAAGTGGTGAGAAAAAATCTGCTTTCTTTGGCATTGCTCTAAACCAAATGGGGCTTGCCTGTGTGCAGCGTTTTTCTATAAATGAGGCTGTAGAATTATTTGAAGAAGCCAGGTTAATTTTGGAACAAGAGTATGGACAGTGTCACCCAGACACACTGGGGGTGTACAGCAATCTTGCTGGAACTTATGATGCAGTTGGCAGGTACTGTTCTCTATCATTCCTTCAGCATGTCATCTTCACCCAATTACTGTTAATTTGTTTTAGTCTTTATCGTTTATGCAAGGTCTCCTCTTAATTGGTAATTAAGTAATTTATTTCACCGGTTTTCACTTGGCCTTATTAGGTTGTATTGGTACCATAATGAACATAGAGGCATATATTTGCTCCACTTTCTTCAATAGATGCCAAAAACTTTAGCAGATGAAATGATAATGATACAGTCACAACGGTTGAAAAATATGTTTTCCCCTTTTTTAATCTTAGTTCAATATATTTTACAAAAACTAGTCTTGAACTCATTGTGGAGCATAGACCCAAATAAAGTCTGAGATCAATGGAATGAGTAACGACCATGTACACATCGACTTTAGATAAAAATTCCAAGCAATACTTAATGTTTTTGCTGTTTTGATGCAATGCATAATACAGGTTGGAGGATGCAATCAACATCTTAGAATTTGTAGTTCGGATGAGGGAGGAAAAGCTTGGGACAGCAAATCCTGATGTGGATGATGAGAAGAGGAGGTTGGCTGAGTTATTGCAAGAAGTGGGGAGAGTTCGAAGCAGAAAAGCTAGATCTTTGGAGAATCTCCTTGATGCTCACTCTCATATAAATACAGATGGTATTAAGGTATGACAAGGATACTTAAGTGTACTTTAGTATGAATATCATGTAATATAGGATTTATTTAAAAGAAAATGAACAGAAAAAAAGAGAAGAAGAAAAGGAATAGATTGGGGTGTTTTGATTAGATATTGAAGTGGGGTGCATAAAATAATTGGAGGCCTGGGATTTTTGTTTGTTTTATTGATGTATACTTCATTGGTTGTCAAACTCTTCATTCATGTACCACAATCACTTGAAAGATTTTGATTGGTTTTCCATTTGTATATTACAGATATAAAAAACATTTGAAATCAGGCATCTTTACTTAGAATGATGGTGGATTTTTAGTTTGGGGTCTTTATGATGGGTAGTTGAAATGTGATGAACATCTATAATTTGTATTAAATATTGGTGGCCCCTTTGCATACCAGAAAGTTAATTATCATTAAATTGGTTGATGCTGTTAGATAATTCCCAATCAAACTCATACCCATCTTTGTAAATGTTAAAATTAATTATGCCTTATTACCTTTTTTCCTCTTCATTTGGCCTCACTACCTCAATTATCCGCAGCCGCAGTCTACCATACTTGATAACCCCCCACTTTATTTCGATTTACTTAATCTAATTGGTTTAGATACAAAGTGTAACTGAAATTGCACGTAGAATAGTCGGGCGAACTTTATATGCAATATCAGGGTTCGAACACCGATTGGGATTAGTCTCATACTTTTGTGGGTATGAGGAGACTTGAGACTTTTACCCCCAAAAAGAAGGGAAAAGAAGTGCTCATAGAATTGTGAGAAAAGTTGTTCTAATTTAAGATCATTCTCACGAGTCCTAACTTCATTTGATACGGTTTATAAAAGAAGAGTTTATTTAAATTTAGTTTTTATGAAGGATTTTGTTAGTTGTTTGATCAAGGAAACGTAAAAAAAAAATTTCATATTAATTTATCACAAAAAAAATTAAATTAAGATAATAGACGAAATCATAAATTATTCTTATTATTGCCCGGGAAAGCCCGCTAGAGTTACCTATTTTTCCTTTAATTATGGGTAAGTTGACGACGAAGGGAATAACTCAATCTTCTAGGTTATCATTTGTTTGTTTCTTTGGTTTGAACTGCAAAATTAATTGATAAATGATGTGACAACAGGAAGAAAGACAATGGCAGGGAGAGTGGTTCGAGGAAAGAAAAGAGACCCAAGAGATGATTGATGTTGCAGCTGAACACAGCTGATATTGAAGTTATTCCGATGGATTATTTGAAAAGTCACGACTTTAAAGTGATAAAGAGTACTTCCTCTCTGGTGGTTGTGAATATAATATGAGGCAATTTATAGCTTATATTACATTTTTAATCCGGCTTCTTGGTACGTACAAGATACCACTGGGAAACCTACAAATTGCATCATATTTCTTTTATCAGAGTCAAATTAAAATAGATAATCATAATCAAAGTGTGAGCCCAAAAAGAGATATCGTAGCCCCTTTGGCACATACTGAGTAAAAATAACAAAAATGTCTGTACAAGCAGAACAATGGAGTAATACTGGAAAAATGTGAACATGTAGGCTTGCTAAGGAGATTAAAAAAAATGACAAATGCAAAACTTACTGAGCAAATTGACAGAAGAAAAGCCTATCAGCTGCAAAGATAAGTCATCAGCAAGAGCCCATAAGTAGCTGACAATGGGCACCTCCTGCTCTTCAAGTGGAGATGGCACAAAGCTTTGTGATATATAAGAATTATATGTTACATCATATAATCTCATCTATCGCGTTTTCTTTTTTCTTTTTCTTTTTTCCAAGAAAAAAATAGACCTCCTTCATCACTCATCAGACTCATCATGCATGACATTTACTGATTGTAATTGAGGAATGTAACCTACCCTTTTCATCTCCAGAGTTAAACTTTCTAATGCATCATATATCTCCTGCGATTGATGATGTGAGCGATCACTAGCAATAAAAATGTGAATATTGTTATTTACTTCAACCCAACTGCATCCAGGCTGCTTTTTCAGCCCTTTTTCTTTAATTTCTGATCTGACTCTAATATATTCATTCGATCTCCCAAAATCTTCATACAAATTTGCAAGGATGACACGGTAACCGATGCTTGTAGGATCAAGTTTAAATATGTTATTAGCCACAAGTTCTGCCAGCTTTTTGTTGCCATGAGTTCTGCAAGCCCCAAGCAACGAACCCCATATGCGATTATCTGGGATACAAGGCATGGCCATGATTAAATCATATGCTTCATTTAGATGACCAGCTCGACCTAGAAGATCAACCATGCAAGTATACTGTTCAAGTTGTGGTTCAAGTTTATAGTCTTCAACCATCCTATTGAAATATTTCCATCCCATATCAACCCTCCCAGCATGGCTACATGCAGAAAGAAGAGCTGTAAAAGTCACATGATCGGGCTTCTTGACGGCCTCTTTCATCTTTTCAAACAAAACAAACAATTTATCTGTATGACCATGCATTCCTAACCCCAATATGATCGAGTTCCATGATATTTCGTTTCTTTCAGGCATTTTCTCAAAAACAGTCCAGGAGCTGTTTATGTCCCCACATTTAGCATAGGTAGCTATCAGAGAATTGCACACAAGAACATTGTCCTCAAGCCCTTGTCGTAATATGTAGCAATGAACCTCCTTACACTGGATCATGACTGACAAATGAGCGCAAACAGAAAGAATTAATGCAGCTGTTACAGAATTGGGTGTAATTTGTTCAGACTGCATATCACGAAATACCTCAAAAGCTTCAACAGCACATTCATTTTGAGAATATCCAGATATTAAGGCATTCCATGAGATTAAATCCCTTGAAGTTAAGCCTGAAAAAACCTTTTGAGCAGACTCCAAATCTCCGCATTTTCCATACATATCAACTATGGCACCACCAAGAAAAGTATCTGCATCAAGTGCTAATTTTACTGCTAAACCATGGATTTCCATCCCTCTAGACTTAAATGCCAAGGCCGAACATGCTCGCAGCACAGCTAGAAGTATGAGAGAATCTGGAAAGCCATACTCTAACATGAAACCATTGAATAATTCAAGTGCTTTCGTAGGATAACCATCCTGAGCACAATTTGAGATGACTGCACTCCACATAACCAAGTTGCGATTTTGAGACTGACTGAACATTGTCAAACCAGCTTCAGGATCACCACATTTGAAGTACATATCTATGAGTGCAGTTTCAGTTCTTACATCATTTCTCAATCCATGGCTGAAAACCAGTCCATGTATTTGCTTTCCAACTTTTAAATCCAATGATTCAGAGCACAAAACTAGAACAGCCAAAATTGTTGATGAATCTGGTCTCATCCCCAAATTCAACATCTCAATAAAAAACTCCAATGCCAGCGACAAATAGCCATTAGAAATATAACCCCTAATCATAACATTCCATATGACTGTATTTCTTCTAACTGACTCGTAATCAAGAACCCTTTTAAAAATGCATTCAGCGGTCCTTATATCCGCACATTTCATGTACATGTCAATCAATCCACTAACCAAAAACTCATTAACAGCCAATCCACTTTTTACAACAAACCCATGAATTTCCCTGCCATTTATCAAAGCCTCAATTGATGCACATGACGAAAGAGCTGAAAGACAGCTAACCCTATTTGGGCACACGCCATGTTCATAAATCATCCTCTGAAAGATCCTCAAGGAACCAAAGTAATCCCCTGATTGGCTTAACCCAGATATCATGGTATTCCAAGAAACCAAGTCTCTCTCACGCATTTTCTCAAACAATTTAATTGCATCTTTAGCATCTCCACATTTCCAATACATACTTAAAAGTGAATTTGTAACATAGATATCATCAGAATATCCTAACTTCAAAACGTGCCCATGAATCTGCCTAGCCCTTTCCACATCACAAAGCCCACCAAATGCCTTAATTAAACACGGAAAGAATCTAAATTCATCAACTGAAAAGCCACATTCAAGCATGTTAAGATAAACCCAGATAGCATCTTCAAATGAACCACTATCTGTAAATTCCCTAATCTTGTTACCAACTAATGAAACATCAAATACAAGAGGCTCATTGTTCAAAACCTCATGTTTAGAGATTGATTTCTGAAATGGATTTTGTACATAATTTAAACGAGGACTAGAATTGTTTTGAATTGTAGAAGAAACAACAGAGAATTTTCTCATGTTATAAAGAGCATAATAACTAGGACAAAATTGAGCTAGCTTAATTGATGGCATAAATAAATTGGGTTGATAAACGCAGTGGACCATTACCATTTCTTTTTACCTCCTTTCGGCTACACTGAGACAATGCAAAAAGCCATCGATAAATACTATGGTTGTTCTAATTCTGGACTCTCGTTCAAATACTTCATATGGTGCTGTCGTTGAAAGATGGCACCAAAATCTTGTGGTGTCTCTTTAGTGAGCTTCCGTAAAATCGAATGGTTTTCGGGTTCTAAACCATCTACAACTATAACCTGCCTGACCCGGTACATAAAATGATTTTCGCAGAACTTTTTACTCCTTAAGTTTCACGGTAACACTCAGAAACTAACGGGCGCTTTTTAAAAGGCCGTGTGGAAGGTCAATCATGTCATTTTGTTCAATAAAGTAACAAAAGAATAGTATCATATATGCACGTTAATTTTTTTTTTTTTTTTTTTTTTTTTCACAAGTGGCGAGGAAGATGGCCACTGGCCCGGCTACAATGGCCAGTGGCAACTAGGGGTGTTCAAGAGCGGTTAACCGCTTTTCTAAATCGAACTGGATTTTCAGTTCAAGAAAATTCTCGAACCGAAACCTAACCGATTAACGGAAAAACCGATTTTTCGGTTAACGGAAAAACCGGTTAACCGTTTTAAAAAAGACGGTTAACCGGTTTTGAACCAGTTTTCCTTTTTTTTTTTTATAAAACTTTTTTTTTTTTAATTTTGTCCTAAATTAAATTGTAAATATAGACAATACATTGGGAACTAAGAAAAAAAATTTGGGTTGGGATTTTAGATTGAGTGAATTAGGGATTTATTTTAGTTTAGGTTATTATTTATTTATTTAATATAATATATATATATATTTCAAAAAACGGTTTAAAAAACTGGTTTTCGGTTAACCGTTTCTAATTTCTCCCGAACCGGTAACCGAACCGAATATTCGGTTTTTTGAATTTTTTGAACCGTAATCAAACTGTTTTTTCGGTTAATGGTTTTTCGGTTCGGTTCAGTTTTTGTATTTTTTTGAATACCCCTAGTGCCAACAGTTGCGCGCTACTGTGGCCACGCTAGCCACCACACCAATGGCCATAGTAGTGAGGTTGGACAGCGCTAACCATCCCCTCCGAGTAGACCTGTTAATACGGGTGTATATATCTACGGGTGAACTTGTATCCATCAAAATTACATAAGTACAAATCACTTAGATTTTGTTTTGATGAGTTTATGAAAATTAATTTATAGGTTAATAGTGCTTATAAGTTAATAAACATTTAAAATTTAAATATTTACGTGTTTTGTTAAAGTATTTATAAGTGATTGATAAATAGTTAACGCGTTCGATAAAATGTGGTTTATAAATATATTTTATTATTAAAATGATTAAAAATGGTACTACATTATTAAAAATAAGGGTATATGATGAAATTTTAAAATTAAAATAAAATAATGTGATAATATATTTAGTCAAAGTAATTGATAAGCAAATGCTTATAAGAAAAAAAAGTATATTCTCTCAACTTATTTCTTTTGGTTTATAAACTTAAAGTACTTATAAGCTCTAAAAAAAAAAAAAAAAAAAAAACCTTTTAGCTTATATACTCCAAAAAATTATAAACAAAAAAATCAGCTTAATTTTAAAGATTATAAATTAATTTGACTAGTTTATAAGGTGATTTGTAATCTCAACAACCACCCTCTTGTATGGTGCCTGTTTTAGTATGACCCATATCCGGATCGGGGCTTTTTTGACGGGACCCATAAAAAATTTTAAAAAAAGAATTGCCCTAATTTCTACTTTTCTGTTCTCAACTCCCGCTGCCGCCTCTCTCTCAACTCCCGCCGCCGCCGCTTCTCTCTCATTCACACAGTGACTACGTGCCCGCCATTGCCATGCACACCGTTTCCTTTTTAAACATCTACACATGCCAAAGCCATTTCCTTAAAAGTTGCTATACTCCCACATATAATTTCAGAAGATTACTTTTATGTTATTTCATTTGCTTTCTTGAACCTTCCTTTTTTGTTCATCTTCGCTGCTTCTTCTAGCTCTTTACTTTCCCTTGCCTACTGTTACTGGTACGGATTCGATTTAATTTCAGTTTTCTTTTCATAATACATGCTATTTGTCTGCTGAGAAATGTTAATTGAATTTCTACTAGAAAAGAACTGAAATACTGTTATTTTGTTTTGAGAAGGAGACCTCCAAGGTAAGTAAGATATTTTTCAATTATTTACGAATAGTATAATTAATCTGTCTATTGATGCATGTATGTTCCCACTTCCCAATATAACATGAAAATCCTGACCTGAAAATCGAACATCTTCGGGAAATTCAGATAATTATTTATACGAGTAAAGGGCGCCTTTCAATTCAAATAATTGTTTAATCACAATTTTTTTTATTTACAAACTTTGATAAGAGTAATAATATATTTATAAACAAATCTTACAAAAATCTTCCTATAAAATGGTTTGATGAAAAGTTAATAGAAAATTGAATATAATGAATTTTTGTTTTTGTTTTATTATTTTATTCTTTTCTTCACCTCACTTTATGTAAAAATATTAGTAAGATATTTTTATAAGTATAATATTATTATTTTTATAATATCACTTTATTATTCAAATTTATATTTCGTTTTTTATTTTGATATCATTGCGACCTCCACACTGCCATCACTCTCTTTCTCGATCATCACTTACTAAAACTTCTTAAACTGTACTTCCATCAATTTTGTCAATCGCTGATAATCGAGTGATTGAGGTTTGCGTAGCTGTCCTATCAAATCAAATTCTGATCAATTCAAACATTTTATCACTAAAAGACTCATTAATCTTCTCTTTTTATAAGCTCTAATATCTTAGACCGAGTTTTTTTTTTGTTCGTCAAAAGATAAATTCGGATAGTAAGTAGGTGGAAAACATTAAACCATTATTTTGGTGGGGGAAAAGTAGGTGACTCTCACTTGCATTTATGTTGTGTAAAAAATAAGGGTATTTTAGTCATTACGGAGAAGTATACTGTAAAGTAACAGATTTTATAAACGTCTGTCAAAAAGCAGTTGACGGCTTGACGCAAAACCTAAAGAGCAAACCGTTCTTTTTATCCCGTCGTGCACCGTATTAAACCCGTATATACCCGTATCGTATTTTTCCCGTATCCGAATTTTATGGCTGAATTTTTATAAACGTATTTTTTACTGTTTGCTGTATTATACCCGTAAAATTCCCGTATCGTTTTTTTGCCGTACCCGTATTTACTAACTAGGCATATATGCACGTTAATTTTTTTTTTTTTCACAAGTGGCGAGGAAGGTGGCTTGCGTCTTAAAATATACTATTTTTTGTTAAAGCACTTATAAATTATTAATAAATAATTAATAAAATGTGATTTATAAATATAATTTATTATTAAAATGACTAAAAATGATACTATGGGTGCGTTTGGTTTATTATTTTGGATTGGATTTTGGGGATAGTATTAGATAATTGAATATGGGAGTATTACGAGGTAAAATTTAAAAATTTATAAAATAACCCCTAAGTTTGCTAATTTAATAAATACCCCAACATGTAAAATGACAAAAATACCCCCACCACCTGCAGTGCCAGATTCCGGCCACCATCGCTGGAATCTGGCTGGAAAATCGCGTTACGATACAGACCGGTCGGATCTGTATCGTAATGCGTCGTTATGGCCATCTTTGGCCGTCGTTCACGGCCAGATCGGTGAACTTCTGACCATTTATGATCATCAGGTAGGCCGTTGTACAGATTCCGGCTACCACCGATGGTGGTTGTCGAAATCTGGCAAGTATGGGTCGCGAGGGTGTTTTTGATCATTTTTAAACTTTTTTTTCAGGGTGTATTTGATGAAATTAATAACCTTATGGGGTCTAAAAATAATTAAAAAAATTAGGTAATATTTCTGGAATAATATGTCAAACATTATTTGGAGAATAGGATTGAGAATAGGGATAAAAATAATAAGCCAAATATGGCCTATATTATTAAAAATAAGGATATATGATAAAATTTTAAAATTAAAAAAAGATAATATAATAATATATTTGATCAAAGTAATTTATAAAAGAAATGCTTATTCGAAAAAAAAAAAAAAAAAATGTTCCCCCAACTTAGAGTTTATAAACTCCTTGACCAGTTTATAAGCTAATTCGTAAGCTCAAGAAAGATCAAACACCCTCATATTTAGTACCCGTTTTAGTATAACCCATATCCGGATCGGGCCTTTTTTTATGGAACCCGTAAAATTTTTTTAAAAAAGAATTGCCCTAATTTCTACTTTTCTGTTCTCCTCATTCTCAACTCCCGCTGCCGTCTCTCTCTCAACTCCCGCCGCCGCTGCCGCTCTCTCATTCACACAGTGACTACGTGCTGCCATTGCCATGCACACCGTTTCCTTTTAAAACTTCTACACATGCCAAAGCCATTTCCTTAAAAGTTGCTATACTCCCACATATAATTTCCGGAGATTACTTTTATGTTATTTCATTTGCTTTCTTGAACCTTCCTTTTTTGTTCATCTTCGCTGCTTCTTCTAGCTCTTTACTTTCCCTTGCCTACTGTTTCTGGTACGGATTCGATTTAATTTCAGTTTTCTTTTCATAATACATGCTATTTGTCTGCTGAGAAATGTTAATTGAATTTCTACTAGAAAAGAACTGAAATACTGTTATTTTATTTTGAGAAGGAGAGCTCCAAGGTAAGTAAGATATTTTTCAATTATTTACGAATAGTATAATTAATCTGTCTATTGATGCATGTATGTTCCCACTTCCCAATATAACATGAAAATCCTGACCTGAAAATCGAACATCTTCGGGAAATTCAGATAATTATTTATACGAGTAAAGGGCGCCTTTCAATTCAAATAATTGTTTAATCACAATTTTTTTTATTTACAAACTTTGATAAGAGTAATAATATATTTATAAACAAATCTTACAAAAATCTTCCTATAAAATGGTTTGATGAAAAGTTAATAGAAAATTGAATATAATGAATTTTTGTTTTTGTTTTATTATTTTATTCTTTTCTTCACCTCACTTTATGTAAAAATATTAGTAAGATATTTTTATAAGTATAATATTATTATTTTTATAATATCACTTTATTATTCAAATTTATATTTCGTTTTTTATTTTGATATCATTGCGACCTCCACACTGCCATCACTCTCTTTCTCGATCATCACTTACTAAAACTTCTTAAACTGTACTTCCATCAATTTTGTCAATCGCTGATAATCGAGTGATTGAGGTTTGCGTAGCTGTCCTATCAAATCAAATTCTGATCAATTCAAACATTTTATCACTAAAAGACTCATTAATCTTCTCTTTTTATAAGCTCTAATATCTTAGACCGAGTTTTTTTTTTGTTCGTCAAAAGATAAATTCGGATAGTAAGTAGGTGGAAAACATTAAACCATTATTTTGGTGGGGGAAAAGTAGGTGACTCTCACTTGCATTTATGTTGTGTAAAAAATAAGGGTATTTTAGTCATTACGGAGAAGTATACTGTAAAGTAACAGATTTTATAAACGTCTGTCAAAAAGCAGTTGACGGCTTGACGCAAAACCTAAAGAGCAAACCGTTCTTTTTATCCGGTCGACGAACACTCCTCCTTCTGTCAATACGGCGCGTTTTATAAGCGAGTCTTGCCACTCTCGTCCCGCCCTATCCAACTCCCTCTTGCTTCGACACCTATTATTGTGTTAGTGTGAAATACTCTCTCCAATTTAGTATCAATGGAAACCAAAGCGTCGGTTTCCCCAGCAACCGTCTTAGATAAGATTGTGGTGAGTACTTTCGGTTCTTTTATGTGACTAATTTCTTTTCTGCTTTGTTTGTTTCATTACCTCTACTCTTTTTTAGGTTCCGGGCGATGTGGTCCTTGATCTCTCTAGCTTAACAAATCAGACCATCAAGCTAGGTGGCGGTCTCCGTCTGGTATGTACTAATTTATTTACTATTTGATGTTTTAGTTTATGTTTAATGTGGCTTATACTGAATAAAATTATCTTCTTTTAGTCTCAATTCAATTTTAAAGAACTGTAAATCGGTATGGGGTTTGTGGATTCTTTGAATTTTAAAGTTTAATTATTTATTTATTTTTTAAGCCACGTTTATTTTTCCCTGTTTGTTCTTATTGGACCATACATAATCTGTTCTTTGCATAACCCTTTCTTGTTTTAACATTGCGGTAAATACTAGTTTTTATTTTTTGCCGGACACAACGAAACAATAAAATAGAGAGACTAAAGAAAAGAAAATCTTATGTACCTTTTGCACTGATTAAAGGATATTGATATTCGTTTCGGGTCATTTCAGGATTGTGATTCTATTTCTGTTATGAAGGCTGGAAAACTGAAGTTCTCAAAGCCAAACAAATATTGGGTTGAAAGCTCTCACAAAAGGGTGTGTATGATATTACTATAATTAGCTGAGTTGCAACAAGTTTGATGAATGTTTTATAAATATTGTGTACATATCTCTTTATTGTTGTTATACTTTATGGTTAGGGTTAATATCATCATGATATTGATTTCTTTAATTTATCACTTGCATCGATATAAGTTATCTATAGCTCTCTTTAATGTTTCATATTCTAATTTTGTTTTCTATTCAGTATGTACCTTCCGTGGAGGATACTGTTCTTGGGATTGTTGTAGACTCAAAAGCAGATGTAAGCACTGTTGACATACTTCATTGTATTATCATAGTTGTTATTGTTTCTTTGTTGACAGTTGAAACTTTTATCTTATTTTGCTTAAATGTGTATGTAGTTTGGAAAAGTTTCATCTTCTGTCACTTGCTCTTAGCCATATTTGCTATCTGATTTATAGTTGGTGCATTATTGAAATTTGCATGAACTGATATCAGTCTTTATCTCTTTTTCCTGAAGTAATAAATACTTTTTGTGATGCAGAACTTCCTTGTGGACATTAAAGGACCGGCAATAGCTTTTCTGCCTGTGCTTGCATTTGAAGGAGGAACCCGGAGAAACATACCTAAGTTTGAGGTGCATTAATTGCAAATCTTATATTCATTAACTGTAAAGACCATTTAGTATGTCATTTACTTTCATTTACATAAGAGATGTACCTGTTGATTGGCATTTTTAGCTTTTGAACTAAACATTGAGGACATGTTCAATAATCACATTTTATTTTAATTCCCTGGGTTGGATCATCTGTTTGATAATCTGTAGTTTTTTTTCAACTAATGCTTCTTGCTATAGGTAGGTTCTCTTCTTTATGTTCGGGTTGTGAAGGCAAACCCTGGCATGAATCCTGAGTTGTCATGCACCGATGGTTAGTTGTGAAAGTGCCTTATATTTTCATATTATGATCTGTGGACTATTTCTTGACCATTATGTGGATTTGTCTTGTGATTTATAGCCAGTGGAAAAGCAGCAGAATTTGGCCTCCTTAAAGATGGCTACATGTTTGAAACTTCAACTGGTCTATCAAGAATGTGAGATTCTTGCTTTCCCTATTTTAACTCATCAGAGATGCTTGGGATATGTTCTTTAATGCTATCTCTGAACGCTTGATATCACAATAACCTCAAGGTTTTTCATTACCTTACTGTGAATCTGATGATTCTTTGTCTTTTAGGTTGCTGAGCTCACCAACATGTCCAGTTCTTGAGGCTCTCGGGAAGCAACTCTCCTTTGAGATAGCAGTGGGCTTGAATGGCAGGGTTTGGGTATGCTTTTTGATGCCCTTTCTTGAGTTGATTGGATACTGGGTTGTGTTGTTTTCTTCTTGCAGCGTTACTTGCAGCATGGTTCTTAAAACTTAGTAACCTTTCTATTTGAAGATACAACTCCTACTAATACTTCTTTATCCTTCTAAATTCTGTACCAAATCCAGGTGAACGCTGCCTCACCATCTACGGTGGTGGTAGTTAGTAATGCAAGCATGAACTCGGAATATTTGAGTGGGGTGCAGCAGCAAATTATGGTGGAGAAACTGCTCCAGAAAATTAAGTGATCATGTTCTGGTCTACTATTTAAACCCGCATACTTTTTTTTCTGTCTCGAATATTATGCATTGCATGAAGTTCCAACTGAAAATTCGTTGCTAATATGCACAGTTTGTTAAAACAAAAAAGAAGTTTTGTTGCTGGTAGATCTTGAGGATGTAAAGTGCATGGGAAGAGACAGAAAAACCTCCAATGCAAACCAATTCGTGGTCTTCTGATCATAATTCATAAGCAGAAGCCCACTGGATAATTTTTGCCCTTTTATCTCAGAATCACATACGGGATAAGTGATACAAGCCTTCACTGGAAATGTTTATGAATTACAATTTATAATGATATTTTCTTCAGAAGTTTTATGTTTAAATATAAATAAATCTCATTGAAACTATACTAGCTCATGAATATCAGCAAAATTCATCATTCGTAATATAATGAAAAGTCTGAATTATTAAAGTACTCAATACATTCATTCAGTTTCAAACAACGAATTCAGGGACGTTCTTCTATGCCGAATGTGAATACTTCTCACCCCAATCCTGTGTGAAGTAAACGCCATGACATCTATCTGCATCAATAAATTCTTTAAGTAATAAGTCAACACAGCTCAAGGTTACGTCTCTGTCCCTTTCAAGTTCCATTGACAGAAAGGCCATACTCATTTAATAAACTTGCTAATTTCTTTATTGTGGTGGTCCTGGTGGATAATGCTCTGTTTCTGGGTCCAATACTTTCACAACTCAGCAGAAGAAGCTTAAAGGCACATGATACTGCAGGCCCTAGTTAATGTTGCAGTGTTAGGTTCACATGGGGGATACCCTTTCAATTCATCAAAGAAAAGTCCTCTTCTTATACAGCCAAGGAGTGTTAAATCACACATTAATTGCTTCTGCTTCTGCTTCTGTTTCTGTTTCCCTCCAGCCCCGTCTTTCTGTGAACTTGATTAGACTCTGCCCTATACTTCAATTAAACTTCAATTACTGTACACTCAATGAATATAAGTGGGTTCTTTCTAGGTGAACTGAAACGAAAGTACAAATTTGCATGACCTCTCACCTTCAATAAATTCATCAAGTTTCAGTAAGTAAGTGATTTCAACAGTCCCTTGTTTTTAAGCGGAGCGGGCCAGTTCTGCTTCTGAATTGTCACGGGTCAGTAAGGAGAGACTCAAAAGATTTATATCTTCGTTTGATCATCATAGCTAGAAGTGGAGAGACGCATGTTTTTTCAGGATGCTGGGCGAGACACTTTCTTTGTCATAACGTTATTGATTAAATTTGGCATTACCTTGATTTACCCAAAACACCAAATCTCTGTGTTGTCAAGGCTTTTTAAGGTGGTAAAACCAAAATGCAGCTTGTGTTAAGTTAACTTTAATTTTGGGAAATGATAAAATACGATGTGAAAATAAATTTAGTAGTGATGCCACAGTAGCACTCACAAAGTTAGAAATGATGGAATGGTGGTGGAACTGATGGGGTGTGTCTTTTTCCATTTCGGTTTCTGCTACTAAAGAATATGTTGCCACTTGTTGCCTGCCATTCATCAACGTATTTATATTTGTAAACGAATACAAATTTGCAATTATAATGCATTTAAGCTTAATTAATTAATTAATTAATTTTATATATACTGTGAAACCCATGTGATCCATGTCGGCACATGCCATGTCAAGCTTTGTTGAGTCAAAATCATAATTCATAGATTTTGGTCAATGCATCCATCCCATTCTGAGTTTTGCTTGATATTATGTTTCAAACTTCTTCAATAAAAAGTGATAAATTAGTATAGAGTAATACTAGCCTTAGAAAGAGGTAAACAAAGAGCCATATAAAAAGTCAAATCCAGCCTTTGAAATTCATGATTGTCTTTTTCTCTCTCTTTTTCCTTTTTTCTTTTTCTTTTTTTTTCAAGGGCTGGATTTGATTCTTTGTATGGTTTTTTGTATACCTCTTTGTAAAGCTAGTATTACTCATTAATATAACATGCAAAATAAATGAAAACCAATACAAGAAGAAAACTAACATGTTTAATTAATCAATAAAAATTTGCTCACAACTCAATCTTATAAACTTTCTCTCATAATCTCACGTCACAGTTTACAATTGGTCAATTCATAATTTAATGTGTGAAACTCACTGCGGACAGATAAGACCTATTTGTGAACTGATCAATTATGAATTACCATGTCAGAATTATTAGAGAAAGTTTTTGATATTAAATTGTAAGTGTAGTATTGTTCTTCACTAAAATATAAATAATATTACAATAAAAATTTGGGAGGGAAAATTTGTGTATATAAGTCAGCCATAAACTTGAGAGAAGAAATTGAAAAGAGCCGCCTTTTGACCATGAATCTTAAATGGCCGAAGACAATTTACCACCAGTCAGTACAACAGTGAAGTCAATTTCTTCTTTTACCCCATGCTCAATTGGGAAAATCATAAACGAGTAAACGACATCTTCCCACCCAAGGTTTGGGGAATCTTCCCATTTTCATGGTCTGAGACAGTATAAAATGTGTTATTACCAAACTCTCCTTTAACTTTTACTTTTGATTGTAGTGGCTAAATATCATAAACCTCTCTAGAAGATAGAAGCTTGTCCATTGCACCTCCACAAGCTGGGCAAACCCCAGCCACCACAATTGGCATCACAGATCAGCCAAAGCCAACGATAGTAGCAGCACGAAGGAGACTGGGTGTGGCACCCCCACCCTCGCTTGACCGCCATTGTAACGCCCACTTTGACGTACGTAACTTAGGTATGCTTTAAGTCTCTTAGTTTTACTTGTTTCAAAGTGAAAGATTGAAACAAGTAAATCTCACAGAGTAGTCATTTATTGAACTAGACCCTTGCTTTAAACTGATAAATTCTTGAATCTTCTCATGAACCTGATTAACTGTTCTGTACTCAACCTCAAATAATCTCCTAAACTCTCCCCAGGTCATAGAAACTATATCATGAGTATCTTCCATCAATTCCCATCAAATTCAGGCATCACCTCTAAATAAAAAACTCGCATACCGAATCTTTTCTCTATCGGTCATAGAGAAAAGCGCCGTTGTACGCTCTACGGACCTAAACCACTCTTCTGCCTCTAATGGGTCCGTTGTACCCCGGAATTCTGACAGCTGATGTTGAGTTGACAACCCATATATAGGCTCGATACAGTTTTGCACTGTCGGGGGTACCGAACTTTCTCTTTCTTCTCTAGTGGTCGGTACACGAACTAGGGTTTCGACTCTTTCTAGCACAACTCTTCCCTGATTCTCTACTAACACTTGTTGTATGATATTACAAATCCTCGCTTTATCGAGGATAGAGGGAGTAGATTTTGGCAGGTTGGAAGGTTCCCTCGTACTCGTTGTATTCTTAATACCTGCTCGGGTTCTATGTCTCATCTACATAACAACAACACTTTAAATCAACTCAAATAACTTCATCTACTACTATGAGTAAGGAAAGAAATAACTTACTACGGTCGGCTACTAGACGTCGTTGCAGCGGGAGAGGCATACTGTCAAATCCCAAAATCTTAGCTCTAATACCAAAAATGTAATAACTCTTTCTAGCTAGTATACTTCGGGAAATATTGCAGAAAATAGATGAGAAGCGGTCGGATAGGACGTCGAGAACGGAGGAGAATGGCACTACTGCCCACTATTTCTGAGTTTATGTATATGACCCTTTTATTAATGTAAAGAAATCTTTGCACTATTTTGTACTTAACTACATATATATATTCTATGATATATTTAGTGACCTTATATTATATTTCCCAAAGTATACTAGCTAGAAAGAGTTATTACAGCCGTCCTAGATTGCATCATTTATGCGACTTTTCCTCTCACCCACTGTTGCTCTTGGGCTGTTTTCGGTCGATTCTTACATCACCAAGCTCCCCCATCACCACCATCAAAACCTCCACGCCACAATCACTAAAACCCCTCACACTCCCACCCTTATGCACACACAAATCGTCAACTGATAGCCCTTGCAATCTGACTCGATTCTCCAAGTTTACAGCCAGATTCCGACTTATCTTAACATCAGGAATACCCCTTTCACAACCATTCGAACCCCTGTCCTCTCCTCAACAAAACCCACACCTCCACCAGCCTCCCCCACTTGCCCTTTGCCCTCCACGAGAAGCCAAGTTGCGTTTCTATTGCAAGGGTGCGATTGTTAGATTTCAAATTTGAGATGTTGAGGGTCCTTGTGAGAGAAATTTGAGATGTGGAGGGTTATCTTAAAACTTGTATTTTTATTTCAAATTTAATATAGTACTTTAATCATTATATAAAAAAGTGGTGGGAACTTCCAGACGCGCCGGGCCTTGGGTGGGAACATATCGTTTACTCATAAAATCTGAAAATATGACTGTGTCACCAGCGCAAAGATTGAGACAACTAGTCTCAGAAAATTACAAATGAAAATGAAAACCGTACATCTCTTTCTGCAATCAATCTATTGCCACCCACTTTCTGCCATTGTCATGCATCGAGATTTGCGTTTCTCCCCCATGTATTATTGTATTCAATGCACCTCACAGTACTTTCAGTAACAAAATTACAATGCAAACCTAATCAAAACTGCCCTTGAGTTTCGGCAACAAAACAGGAAGAAAAAATAATATCTCAAGCACCACACTACTAATAACTATACAAATTAAATGTTTACTGTTTACACTGAGATTTTCAAGCACGTGTGGCACAATATTGCTCCTCTTTTGTTTTTTCTGTGCATGAAGAAATTTCAACGCTCATTCTTTTGAAATTATTATCTCCACTCCATCATTGAACTTTTGAACTGATACAATTCACATCATCAAACTAATAATTAAGTATATTCTTAACCCAGAATATATATAAAATAAAAGATGGTGTTAAAGTTAGTGGCGTCTACAGGTTCATGGCCATGGCGGTTGAGCAGATATGAACATATCTACGGGAAGAATCTAAAGGGCAGACGAAAGTGATCGGGGGCCCGACCCTTTATAATAATGCATGTGAGGGTTTGGGTAACAAACAACATATCCCATCTCTTTGCTTTATGGCAACTTTACCACGACTAGTATAGCGACCCTACATCATCAATCTCAATCTTTTTTTTTTTTTTTTTTTTGTTTTAGCGAGAGTATTCGGATTAATATATGCGTACCTCAACTAATCTCTTAAGACCCGAAAGTTCAAACAAATAAGTTCTTTAATGGCCACCTGTGGAGATTCGAACTTAAAAGTTTATTGAATTTTTTTTTGCTTTTATCATCAAGTCACCCAATGGTGATTTCAATCTCAATCTCCCTCGTTTGTATGTGTGTGGAAATGGTTTAAAGAAAA